ACGTGACTTAAAAGGGAGGGAGGGAGGGAGGGAGGGACAGTGTAATACATCGTTTATGTGACCACGTGATGTCTTTCCGCCAGTTTGATTTTAGTCTTGTCCTTGTATACGTGGGCTAGCCTTCGGGCTAAGCCAAAGCCTAATCCCTTCTTCACCGCCTAGGATGGATGCATTCAGCTTGACCTAATGCTTTATGATAATTTGTTTCAAGTGCCGGGACGCTAGTGTAAAGGGTATTGGAGGTGGCTGAATTTATGTGCTTTAGGCAAGAAATCAAGAACTTTGACTTTGGGTCAGTCCGAAGACCGGCCCACGTGTGCAAGAGCACAGTGGTCACAGGCAGAAAAGCTACATATACACATTGATCACCTTAACCTCGTGGCTTTGTTGACCTCTGAGAATGTTTTAGATACGACTTTAGTTAGAACAGAAGGCAAAACACAAATCTTACCTCAATTCAAGCATTAGGTACCCCAACGGAGCTATACGAACCAGCATTTGGTTCACAATTTCGCCATCTTTTATATCCCTTTCTGTTGTTTCTTTATTACAAATTGTTTGAACGCGTTATATTAGACTTCGCGAAAGAGTGGAGTCAACAGTGTTGGAGCACAGAGACGATTTTTCCTGGAACGGAGTTTAGTATATGTCAGTCTCTTCTTTTGGTATAATGCTTGCCTTTATATCCTTACCCTTACCTATGATACTGATAAAAATTGCAGCTTAAATGCAGCATAACAGCACATATAACCAATTGTAAAATCAGTTTAAACCCTGATCCAAGGAAAACTATGCATGTCCAACCTGAAAACCATCCAGTCTCAAGTTATGCTAAAATAGAAAATCAAAGAAATAGACATAATCCGTACACAAGCTGTTTGAATTATTGCTTGATTCCTGGAAGTTAACCAAACAAAACATTTTCTAAATTGTAACATTACAGCCTTTTTGCGCCCCTTCGAAAGTAAAGGTCCTTTGGAAGGGCATTACAATAAAATCAACTCTGATATTTTGCTTTATATATATTCGGAAATATTGTAATGGTAATGGTAGCACCCAATCTTAAACAATGCTTATTAAGTCAGTAACTTGTTTATCTGCTTGATTTATATGTTTCGTCCTACGTCCTCAGTATAGCGGCTTGTAAGCATGTCTCAGGAGGTGGATGAGTATGCCTCTAACGTGCGGAAATTGCAACTTATGGGCTTTGGAAATGATTCACAGATAAAGGAAGCCTTATCAGCTGGTGGAAATGACATTGATTCCGCGATCACTTTTCTAGTTAATGTAAGTGGTATTTTGGCAATGTACACATGCTCTCTTATCTTTTGAATAATTTATCGAAAGTCTTGCCATGCTCTTTCTAATCTAAGTCTTTGTTTGCACTTGTTTTTTGAATTTGGGATGATTTGTTACTGGTTTTGTCTGATTTTCTATTATACACTTTCTTTTCTGGTATTGGCAACCTGTTTCAAGCATTAATGCTATTTAGTGGGGCGTTTTAAAGTACTTTTTTATGCCCTTGCAGAAGAATTTTGAACCATCTTTCAAGAGTCAAGATACTGCATCCGATGAAAAAGTCGGTTCTCAGTCACTTGCGGACGATGATTTCCCTGTCGATAAACTTAGGACGCTTGAGGAATCGCTTTACATCGAAAAATGGAATATACCCTGCCTACGATCTCAGTCTCTTGGTCTATGTCTATTAAGTGCTATCCGAATAATTAAGTGTAGAGGAATGTCCGCATTTGTCGCCACGGAAGCGCTTCAACGCTTTATGACGAAATGTTTAACGGAGTGTTTGAACAAGGTAGGTTTTCATTACTTTATATGTTTGCATGTCAAGTATTTGATTTTTGGTTGCCAATGCTTAGATTCTCTTATGTGCTTCGATTACCTTTACCTCTTATTCTGGATAAAACGCAAGTTTTTGTGGTCTTGTATATTCGTGACATTCATTTTTCAGACCTTCCACGGAAAGGGTTCTCTAAGAATTTTAATCGATTCGACCCTAGTTCACCTGAGTCTGTCCGTCCTAGTCTACATGAATGTAGAGTAGCGATAATGATGATTAAGAGTGTGTATCTTGTTTAGACTGTGTAAATATTCTTTGCATTTTTTGTCGGTTAAACCTACGCGCGTTTTCCTTTTTAGTTTTTAACATCTGGCGCTGTCCTGCAGTGGGATGCAGAAACTCTGGAAGGGGTGCATAACATGCTAGAATTGGTTATCCAACTGGCCATCGAATGTCTGACTGTTGGGAAGTGTTTTTTGTCTCATGACCAACAATCTTTTCAAAAATCAGACTGGCAGAATTTTATAACGTTGGCATTTTCTTATTTGGAGTTAACATTCAACCCAGAATGCAGTTATCATCAACGCTGTCGTGATAGAACCACAAATACTGGAATATATGCGTCAGTTTCTCCCCTAGTGCTGTGTTTGTACAAAGATTTTGGGCCATTTTATATCATAAGTATTTCATAAACTGTTTAAATTTTGTGTGCTTCTCCATGATTTCAATAGGTAAAAAAGCTTTCATCATTTTTACCTCCATTAGAACGAGCTGATTCCTCTCCTTAAAACTTTGAGACATTGCATTTCATGCACTCAGTGCAATGTCATGAATCTTGGTTCATTATTTTTTCCAACGTTGTTTAATTATTAAACAAACTGGCCTAACCTGTACTGCTGTAGAAAGCGAAGAAACTTGTATAAATGACTTTCTTCTTTGTCAGCGACACGAAAATGAAGTAAAACGTAAACACGCTGGTAATGCATAGCCCCATTTTTACTTAAATGTACTGAATGTGATATAATCTCGGAAAGCTTAGTGACTGGCATATGAAATTGTTTTATCGTCTTGAACTGTAAATTTATGGTTGCTATTTAATCCAGAAATCAGTTTTCGGTAAATAGGTACTTTACTTGTAATGATGCTGCTTTTAGTGACCAGTTCAATCATTGGAGTCAGGTGAAGGATAGTGGAGGTGAGAGACACATGTATGCTGAAATATTGCCGGCACCAAAGAATTTCTACCTTGTTAATTTACTCAACTGCTTTGGGGCACACGGCGGATTCGACCTGATTCTCTGGTACGGCACACGTCCGCACTTACCTCTCAAGGTGAGCCCGCTCTACGTCTGCGACTTCTTCCCATTCCCAATTTTTTGGCAAACCATCTTTGGTTGACAGAGTGGGTGTGACTCACACCATTTGATGACTGGACGACTGTCTGTCGGCCGGATTCTTTCACATGTATGCAAACCTGATACTGTCTTTTAAAAAGCCGCAGTTAAACTAAATACTGTGTTGAAAAGGTCATACCATTTGATTGATTAATTGCCTCATCCAACTTATTTCACTTTACTATCCAACAATCTCCTCGAGACCCTTTAGGCACAAATGTGAAATCTCCAAAATAATAATGTCAAGGTTCTGTCATAGTAGACAGCTTGGATGCTTGCTGCCCTCCCACTCTGCATGTGTACCAATCGTAAGGACAAACTCTTACCTAAGTAATATAGCGGTGCATAAATTTTCCTATTTTGTGAGGAGTGGGAAAGTTCGTTATTGAAGGATTAGAGCTCGAAGGAATGTTTGTAATTCTGAAGGAACGAACATTTGTTAATGCCGCTGTTTTGTAGTAAAGGGAAGATTGGCACAGCAATATTTTTATCGGCATTTTAGTTATTTTTTGTCTCCCAAATTTACTGTCCTAATCGAGTGATCCATTGCACCATCTTAACTCCCCCAAAAGAATAACTCAGCTTTGACGTGGTTCACTAATGGCAATACAATGTGCTGTCATAAATGACCTATTTCCGTATCATCTATGGAGGGACGACAAGGTTGTACTGTTTTATCCATAGACGATGCAATCAGTGCTGGGGCCTCTGGCCAACGTAGCAGAATACTTAACCCTGGAGACAATGCGTCGATACTCCTCCTGGCTGATGATTCGCACCTTGTGGCTCATCCACAATCTTACATCAGAGGACTTCAATCCACAGGAGTCGCGAGTGTTTGACCTAATCACCTCTCTGCGGGTACTTTGCTATCGCTCCACTGCACTGTCTAACAACACAGACAGCAGTGATGGATCTCGCCCGGTTGTTCCATTTAGTCTCGCGGAATTATCTCATCCCCGCCAACCCGACTGGGATGCCTTGATGGAGCGGTGTTCTTCTCTCCCCCCAGCAACATCCTTTTTCTCTGTTTCGCATGTGGATGAACGCCATCTAGCTATACTGCTCTCTTCCCTCTGCCCGCCTGTCGGCGTCTCCAGCTCATTCAAGGTGCGGATACTCGCCACTCGTCACCTCATCGACCAAATCACCGCCGTTCAGCAGGCTCGCTCAAGCAGCTCTTTATCTAAATCGGGTCACGTCTCTGCTGGCGCCACTCCTGTGGTCACCTCAACTTCCATCTTGGCAGCAGAGAATCAGGCCTTTCTGCGTCGACGCAAATTACATCGACTCATTCGATACGATGCTTTGATGTCGTGGGTCAAGGAAAAGGCGGTTGTTCAATCGATCATGAGTAAGTTCCGTGCTAAGGATAAAATTGTCACTTTTAGCATATAATTGCTTTCTGAAGGACCATATTTCACAAATAATACCGCTACTTCTCCCGGTTAGCCTTATGCATCCTCAAATGCAAACTATGCGCAATTAGGTGTCCTTTATCGTCTTGCAAATTTTGCCAAAAGTGCTATGTAATGTCAACAAACAAACCGATATACTTCTAGGCACGTCTCTCTATCTGTTCCTCAATTTTGGAAACTTGAAAGGGTTAATGATACCACCCAGCGTGACGTTTTAAGGTCCATTCCTAACAGTTTAGGGGAGCGTAAAATTTAATCCCTTCCACTGATGGTTCCTCCTATGCCTAAATGACACAAACAGTGGGACAAAACTTCACCACCATGAACAAATCTGTGACTGCTGTTGTTTGTATTAAAGCCAATCTCGATAACGTAACATACGTGGCAACGCTGTGCGACTTGTTCCGCTGTCTTGGAGACCACATCACGATGGAAGACATCTCGGCCCTGTGGAAGTGTCAGGAGACTCAGAGCAATGCTGGTATTAACAATATTCTCAAGCTGCTCTCGGAGGTTGGATCAAATGGCTTTAACCAGGCCCAATTCGAGCATTTGCTCCAATTAGTTAGAGACGTAAGTTCTAGACTAGAGGTTGGCCTAACTGAGGAACATTTTTTTGGAACTTCAAGGTGCCTTGGTAATGTTATGTGACTAATGTAATAATTGAGGAAAGAATTGTTCTGTCAAACAATCCTAGCTATCTCTGTAATGTAATATTGGTTTCGAATGTCATGATGGCAACCCTGAAATTTGATTCAAACTGACTTGTCGTAGTTCTTAGTGGCTTTCAAATAGTTTAACTGGTAAATATTGAAGCTTCCGAAATTGTAACTATAGGAGGCATGATTGTAACTTTGTGGATTTGTCATTTATCTAACTCAAAAGTATATTTTTATAAAGAGTGAGGTTAATAACCTTCATTTTCCCCTTGCCTCCAATTAAACCAAATAGACGTATTTTACTCATTTCTCAAATGTCCTTTGATGCAGCACATGGACGGTCGTCTTAGGTTCCGCTTGCTTGCTTCCTTGCTACGTTCTCATTTGTGTCCTTTGTCTACTCTTCATTCAAAACGAAGAGCCAACTTTGTTCTGTTCATTATCAGCTCGCAGAAAGCATTGTTTATAGAGTAACTGAGACGCCTACTAAATACTCTTAATTAGTGCAATGAATACATAACATTGTCTAGCCTTGCTTTGAATTTAATTACTTTGCAAACTAGAAGCACGCTGGACTAAAAATAGCCCCGTTTTGTCTACTTGGTTTGCGAATCATTTGAAGTCTGTTGTTAAGTAAATGAAAGAAACGGGAGTTGGACGGGTATGCTAACCTTCTATTCAGGCTTTATTCCGGAATAACTGTTTCTGCGCATATAAAAAAGACGAAAGTATATCTTTATTGACGTCGTTTTAATTAAAATGGCGAGAAAATGCATGAAGTCAGGCTACAAAAAGTCCTGAGATGGCTCAAAGGGCGGTCTGACGCACTTCTCTTTCATTTGGCAGAGTTGGAGCGCTTTGGATCTGCAAGCACGCCTCCAGTTTACCCGATCCTCGGGATCCAGCAAGTTGGGCATGAAGCATCGGTATCGTCACAGACTCTCCATCACCACCACCACTACGCCAGTCAGACAGCCCATCACGGAGTCTTCCACTATCCGTAATGCTCGTGTTCGTCTGCTCAATTTCGTTGCCACTACTGCCATCACTTCGCGTGAGGTGTGGGTTTCTGATCTCTGTCTTCAACTTCTTTGGCAACTCTCCCACGGTCTGCACCACAAGTCACCTGAGCACGCCAAATCAACTTCCATGGCCGGAGAAGAGAAGGGGAAGGCGACCTTCGGAAAACTTGAAAGACTTGTCAGTGCTTTGAGTAGCAGCGGTGGGAGTGGTAATGGAGGTGCAAGTCATAATCACCTAGATGGGGGAGGTTCAGTTCACCATCCTGGCCCACTAAATCCCGAGCACACTGAAGCGGCCATGGCGCAGTTGGTGATTGTCCTCAGAGAGTGTCGATTGCCCACGAATGAGCAGCGCCATCGACTCAACACGTGGTTGTCCGTTGCTGCTGAGGAACTAAAAAGGGTAAAGCCTATTCATTTGGGATTCTTTATTACTTTCCCTTAAAATTGTCAAATGCCGGTACTTCAGAGGTAATTGGACACTAAAACCCCTTTTGACGCTTTAAAGAAGGTTAGTTTTTGGTCAACACCTTCCTGCCACTGCAACCTAATACTGGGCACAGTTTCATTTGAGGTGTGCATTTTGACTCTTGGTGAATGCGCACTTTTAATGGAAAATGTACTTCTTCTCTGATGCGAAAGCTTTCATGCTACGTTCTCCTCCTTTTTAGGGGAAATCAACCTACTACGTGCTGGACTTCCTGCAGACCATACTGGATCTAATATGCAAGCCTCTACCTGGCCGCAGCAAGAAGGTATTTTGAGTCTCAGAGTTGGGACAGTTAAGAGTGCATGTGAATGCACGTGTGCACGTTCGCATGTGGATGTGCTTTTCCGCATTCTTCGTCACAGAGACTGCTTTGATGCCTTCTGTTGCGCACTCGCCATTTCATTTTAAAATAGGGTGCCAATTCTCAAAGTTTTAGTGGAGGCTGATAAAAGATTGATTTTATTTCGAAGAAGTCTGTAGTTTACTGTCTTTCATGTCCTTGTTGCCTTACGAATGGATCGCGGCGATGGTTTCACTGATGGACATGTAACGATAGTTCATTCAAACAAGTGCTACCAATAGCGCTAGGTTTTGGCTATCTTTGGCTTGGAAAATGTAGTAACTTTTACTGTATTCTACATAACTCGCAACTGCGGCTGGGTGGTGTGTTCGGTGCTTTTTACAGGTCGGGTCAAAAATTTCACCCTCACTTGAAGTTGTTATGAAGTATCAATCTCCATTCAGCCACTGGTTATTTCTATGACTGTGTTATCAGCGTAATGAAGAACTGATTCGATACCCCTTTTGGGTTTAAAACCGATAATGTTTACGATGGTCTTGCTGTTTATTAAGACACTTAGTTGAATATGAGCTCTCATGTCTAATATTGCATGCATAACAAACTTAATTTCCAAACATGCTGCCTACCAAATGGCTTTTAAACATAAAGTCTAAGATGCTTGAAAGAGTCCTCCAAGTATGGGCTAAATGGGTTCTCCCTTCCAGCAATGGTAATGCTTGCCTGACTGAGGCTTTTGACTGCATTTCCCTCTCCCCAGATGACTGCCTCACCCACTGGGTAAGCGCCTTAATAACACGTACCTCCAAAAAAGCTTTGCCCCAAATTGGGCACCTGCAACCTCCATACATCCGTGCTTAAATTGTTTGTCTGCTATTATTTATGGCTAACTTTGGAGGTGTTCTCCAGCACCATTGTTGTCGGAATTGAATAAAGTGATGATTTTTTAAATCCTTCCTGTAGGTCCTTTGAATAAGGTAATAGTTCCCAAAAAATACTACTCAGAAAAAGTGCGTTATTTTACTTCTCTCCAAAAAGTTAGGAGTTCTATGGTAATATGGCTCTTCAACTTCCCAAGAGAACAAGAGAAAAGGATTGTTTTAAGCCACTTCCAGTGGATGTGTTGTCGCTTCATCAACCGTAAGCTGTGTCGTTGAGGCGCGTGGGTACTTTGCAGAAGCTGCCGTCAACATATTCCTCTACTAATCTATCATTAACTGCCCGTTAAGCCTGAAAGAGACAGGTTTGTAGACGAGACATTCATCACCTCATCCTCCGCAACGCTATCTTACCGAAAGTCAGTGCCTCCTCGGTGCGATTGAGCCAAATTCTGCATGATCGAGGTCTTTTGGGCTCCCTGTCTCAGTTTTAATGACTACAATGTCTGATTCCCATTCAAGGACACGTTACGGGAGCTCAACAAGACTTACTCCCTCATCGACACTGTTTGTAATTCCTTGCATCGTCTGCAAAAACAAGCCGCCACCTCAAAACATTTGATTGCCTCCTCCTCTCCTACCAAATCTGCCAGCAGTGAGAACAACAAAACCATTCGCCATAGCGATGTGAGTCGTCATTTGACCATTAAGACTTTTTGAACTGTCAAGGTTAGTTGGCACATGCTATGGACAAGGTAGTTTTCTGTAACCTTCAACCATTTGACATACCTTGCGGAGTTCATTGTTCGTTCCTGTTGGAGGTGAAAACCATCAGATTATTTCTTTGTCCCTTGCTATTGGATTGCTCGCATCCCTTTTTTTACTAAGCACGTGATCGTCATCTATGCTTATTGACTAGACTTCTGTGTTACGATGCATTTAGCTGATCAAACGCCATTTGGATGTGCTTCACTACCTTTTGAGCACAGCTGATCTTCACTTATCAGTGGATCGAACTCAGGACATTTGGGACACCCTTGTGAATGACTATAGCCTCGTTCTCTTCAACGTTGAGGTAAGTCTGTCTTGTCATTACTACTCAGCCTGTGGTTGTTTCATTCACCCAACAAATGCTAAAGTTTCAACGTATCCTAAGCACGAGAACTTAATAACTATCAATTCTTTACACTCGCTCATTACTTTTCACCTAAAGCGCCTTCTTTCAATAAGCAAACGTCGATGCGAATCAGTTTGGAGCAAGTAAATGCCACCCATCTGCTATTGCCATTCAGTTTAACTAATCTCCTTCGGCTTCTTCAAACCATTCATTTTCATTGGTTAAAGCGAGCAACTTGACTTATGGCATTGTTCTCTTTTATTGATGACTCTATGTGTTCCTCTCCTCCTCGAGCAAACATAGCATTTATTCATACTTATAGAAAACGCTTCTCTGGTTTGCCTCAGCTTTGGATCTGCTCGAAACCGACGCTCAAAACAGCCTTTTCACTAAAAATGTTCTCAAACTTCCACCCTCAGTTATTCAGACTTTAAAGGGTAAGTGAGATGATTCTACCTTAACATCGTTACGTCTCTGAAGTGCACTTCGATGGAACCTTAGGCATGCGTGCGACCGAGAGTCTCCCTCCCAATGTCGCTGCTTTGTTTTTAAATGAATAGGGAGACTCCACGACTGTAGTATTTCAGACCGTGCTTTCTTTCTCTATACTATTATTTTTTTGTAAATAGGTTTCCAATGCTTCGAGTCCTTCTTCATCAAAGTGAATTTAAATGAGGGTCGGCTTAAGATGAATCAGGATGGTTGGGTACGTGCCTTCTTCATTCCTATGCATTTATGCATAGATCAAGGTTGAGGGCACTTCAACCCCTTGTACTACCAAGTTGTCATTGGCACTTTTGAACAACGAAAATGCCTTCTGTGATCACTCTTTTAAATTGACAAATATAGGAGCAGCATTCATGTTCTTAATAGAAACTAGCTTCCTTATTTATGGCATTTCAGCCCTCCAGAATGCACAATATTATAACATGAGACGTTCAGTGTGAGTAATAGTTAAAGCCTTCCTGTGTGACATTTTAAATAACCGGTGAAGTAGTTGTATACAGCAAAATCGTTTTTTAAGACTGTTGAACGAATGGACTTGATCGGAGTGGATTTTTTGTGGGACCTCTACACCTCCCTTCCCACAACGCCAAATTCGGCCGTCCATGAGGCAGGCCATGTTCCTGCCTTGCATGCCGAAGGCAAAATTCTCCTACCAGCAGTTGGTAAGGGCGACTTGGGGAACTCAAGCGAGGTCCCCTTAGATGTGCAGATTTTCAATTGTCGCCAGGCAATCCACAAGGCACGCAAATTGCTTTTACTCATCTCATGGTCTCAACTGTCGAGCAAGTTGAAGAGGGACCCCGAAAGCTGTCACAAACGCTTTTTTGACTATTGCCGGAAACGCATTGAGGTGAGTAAATGCAAGAAGTGGTCAGTTTATATATCCATTTTAGAAAAGTTGAAAATTTTTTGATAAAGCGACAAGTATTTACGTGGTGTTGGGATTCAGGGTGTTTCTTGTGCCTAGAGCAATTTGGACGCGTATAAATTTTCATTTGTCATTAATTCCAGATTGCGGAATACAATTTTTTTTAAAAATCTTTCTCCACAATCAGCGATGTTGTTTCACAGGAAAAGCAAATTCAGTTAGGCTTAATTTGACGTGTTTGCTTTTGGTAAAATGTTCTGTTAATTCAGGTTTAGTATTTTTTTTTCTTTGATATGATCGGTGTAAGCCTACAATTTAGAAGAAACGGCGTTTGTTTTTACTTTCGGATTTAAATACCATGATTTGTTGCCTGGGCGTGTGCATCAGGATCCTCTCAAGGCCGCACTCACAGAAAGCAGTACATTAGGCTTCGAGGTAGAGACATTCATGTTTACTGGCGCAAGTGGGGAGGCAGGATGATATCACGTATAAAAACACTAAGTGTTACACGGGTGGACAAATAGTTACAGGCTTGCTTACTCATGGTACTCCATTGACCTTGGCCTTGTAGCGAGCACCAGATCACTTAAAGTACACTTGGGTGAAAAATCAGCCAATTAAGAGGCACTTAGTGCAAATGCCATAGCTCAGTATGTTTTGAGAGTGGACGTGGAGTTGACAAGCTCTGATAAGTCAGCTAAAAACTTCCTTATTGCAATTGCAAGCACCTCCAGTACCAGTTGATTCTGATCTTGTATGATTTCCCTTAGAGGTTGCACTTCCTTATGTTGGCTTTTGGGCAGAGTGATTAACCAACGTTGTGACTTGTCACTTGTCTATTTTAGGGCATTTAAAGACATCAGTAGTTTCAGCCGTACAAGGCACGCTACCTCTATAAAATCCAACCTTATGATAAGAACCTTGAAACCCTTAAATTATCTTCACTTTCTGCTGCGCTTTTGGATTGACAGTGAAAAGAGATTAGCGGTGCGCTTCGTGGTATGTCCCTCCAAGCCTCATCTTTTTCGACGCCTATAAAAGCAATACAGCTGTGAATTTATGGAGCTGTTGGTGCCTGGTCAGTTAGACATTTACAGCCCTAAGCAATGCTGGCAAAATTCCACTTTCTTTGTTCTCCGGCTTGTGAAATAATATTAACACCTTATGATGTCCTTGTCCAACAGAGTTCCTGGACTTTTGTTTTCCCTACTTTGAACAGTATTTTGTCTCTTCTGTCCTACTACTAGCACTGGTGCTAATTTTTTAGCAGACGATGTTCAAGAGGGCCTTTTGTTTTCTATCAGAATGCAGTGGATAGCAGTGAGTGGGAGTTGGGCCACTTCGAATTCACTTTAGAGGTCCCTAATAAGAAAATCTGTGTTTTGCTTAAAAACTTACGAAAGAACTTATGTCCTTGCCTTATTTGACAAAAAAATATCCCTTCACTTGCATATGATTCTGCGCTATCGCCTTCCAGATCAATCTTGCGGCCTCTACTTCCAACTTGTCAAACATAAGCCGAACACAGTCAGAGAGTCGACACTTGACGGTGGACCGCCCATTGCAGCCCAACCTACGCTCTCTGCTGGCCGATACAGGTCAATTCCTCGCCTCCCTCCTCGTCGGCCCTAAGGCGGCCGCCTCGGCACGCAGTCGTCTCAGCAAATCCTCGCGTCTTGCCCTCTACCGCCTCCTTTACATCGTCTTTTCCTACATTGAGAATGCCGAGGTAAGCGAAAAGGCAGTTGCCCAAGATTGTTGGCAAGGCTAGGGCCAGGGTAAAGGTAGTCTTACTGAAGCATGCGACTGTCATGTGATTAGGTAGTGGGTCCGTGAAGTATCTGTACACTGGTCCTATTTCCGTAAACACGAAGCTTTTTGTTAGTTAAATCGGATTTTTCTATCCCTTTACAGTACATTCCTATTTTGGGTCAGAAATTTCGCCTTTCGAAAATCAATTGTTGTTCTAAAACATTAGTATATCAAAATTTAAATGTATTCAAAAGCCAACAAATTTTTTTACGGTTTTTGAATCGCAATATCGACTATAAGTAAAGAAACAAGAGCCCCTTTACTTGCCCTATTTCAATTTGTGGTGGCCTAAAGTTCCCAGGTAAGCGATAACCGGTGCACTTGAATTTTTGCTTGATTTACCCACACAACCAAGTGCCACAAGTTTCGATGCACAAGCACTGTTGCATACTATGCTTTACCCACGCCCAACAGGACTGAAATTCCACTAACACAACTCTCAGGACATGCCGCTGGTTGGAACAGATGGTAAAGCGGGCAACCCCTCTCATATGCCCCTTAACCTGCCGAGCGCTATCACGGCTCCGCTCTCGGCCACCCCCCCCCCCGCACCGACTATCGCGAGGGCGGTGGGAAGGG